ATTTGTACAAAACTTGCCAGTTTGGCGTAATTTGAATCGTAAAATCGAAATGTGTAAAACAGTTGGCAAGTCATTTCTTAAAAAGTCCGATTTTGTGTCAAAATACCTCTATTATAGGTATTTTGACAACACTGTATATAAATCTAATATATTCAAAGTCGCGCTTTCGTGACATGAAAAACGAAATTTGAATTTTGTCAATCGGCCCAGTAGAACGGGAGATATAGAACTGTCTCATTCCCCCCCCAGTGTATATAAAAAGGATAAAAGTTAAAATATAATGCTCTATTTAAAATACCACGTATTACTAGAACAAATAAAATAATTATATGACCTTCATTCGCTATTCTTTAGGTCATGAATTCCTTCCCGAGCGTTTATTACGTTGCCATGGATACATCGTTAATCCATTGCTCATGTGATAGCATAGTACAATAGGCCCAAATGAAATGGAGATATTTGACAAGAACAGGAAGCCTGAATGAATACGCGGATTACATATGAAAGGCGTATTATAACCCAGCATATTCTATCGCACAAATAAAGTGAATAGGCAAGAATAATGGCTGAATAAGCATCATGCTTATAATATACAAAGGGTGTTAACGACGATGCATTCCTTAAAACCCGGCTATTTGCTAGTTCTAGGAATGTCGCCATTGCATATAGCAAGAAAGTTTTCAAATTGATACCCTTAGGTTCAAGTTTGCCCTAATTTCAAATTGATGTGTTTCCACCTTTCAAAGTATTATTCTGCTTAACATTCTTATGCACTATAGGCAATTACTGCAATCCTCTACGCATGCTGTCATATTGTAAGTGATTACTTTGTTGTTGTTTCTGCTGACTTAATGCTCACTTGTCTGACCTATAGTCAGCCAAGCCCACGAAATACTCGTGGTAAGGAGCGCAAGATACGCCAGTCGTTGGCAGTAATCTCGAGCACCTTACAGATGCCAGTTCCCCCCCCCCATATTTTCGATGGAGAGCACCCTGGGGGACGGGTCAGAGGCTCCTTCACCGTTCTTTCCCTACCACCAACCTCTCGAGAGGACTTTCGGCTCGCCGCATATTAAGAGTGCTCCCATGCCGCACGGACACTATACATTTACAAACATCCATGCCTTCTCGGAGATTCGAACCCAGGCCTTGCGGCACGGCAGTCAGCGACTATAACCACTATACCGGTTGGTCGGCAAGTGATTACTTCGTTCAGCTAGCGCCTGGGAGATCCTTTGTTCGAATCTTAACAAAGATACTGTTCAGTTTTCCTGTTTTCTGCCTTTAAAAGTCCTAATGTTTAAAAAATATATCAAAAAATGTCTGTACGCCAAAATATTCTAAACCGAGCAAGCATTTTCCAATAATTTACATAGAAGAATCCTTTGAACGTCCTCGTTTTCTCAAGAAATTTAGCACATCACACGAAATCTGTCGTAAAATTTAAAGTTACAGTAAAAGCGGTAAGTTTAAGATAAATATACACTAATTATGTAAATGGAGATAATATGTGTATAAAATTCTACACAAATATTATTTCGATAATTTTATAAATGATTTACTTCTATCATAAAAAACTGTGTATACACTTTCACTGCCAAAAGTCAAATATTCCAAAGAATTAAAGAATCAATACTCTAAAGAATTAAAGAATCAATACTCTAAAGAATTAAAGAATCAATACTCTAAAGAATTAAAGAATCAATACTCTAAAGAATTAATCTTAAAGAATTAAAGAATTAAATATACACTGCTTATGCAAATGGAGATAATGTATGTGTATTCTGTACAAATATTATTTGGATAATTTTGTAAATGTATTATTTCTGTCATGAAACTAATATACAATTTCATTTCAAAAAATCGGAAATAGTGAGAAAAATAACTTCTCCAGGTCTAATGAATTAACTTTTAAACAAGACTGTAAGTAAAACAGTATGCTTGATTGCAAAGACTGACATATTCTGTTTCTATTGTACACTTATCCCTCAGTCATCGAAACATGTAAGTTATCAAACAAGTCTGTTTAAATCTACAGGCGACATCATAAATAGTCAAACATTTCCGCAATCGCTTTTCAAAATAAACACCAAACTTTACTTTCGCTTTTCACATTTCTTTGCTAAAGCGCACATCTTCTGTAGATATCTTTTGTTTCCAGGTAAGGAGATACATTCAGGTCTTGTGTAAAAGGAAAGTTTGCAGATCGAAAACAAACTAAGCCAAAAGGAGGCAAAGTTCTGTCATTCTCCAAAACCAAACAAACTAAAGCGCTATCATTCTTAACAGAACCTGCGTAATATACACACACATTTCCTCCTCTTTTCTGTTTTGTCAGCTTGCTGTGTGAGTTTCTCATTTAGTGTTTGCAAATAAATTTGTTTTCAATGAATGAACACCTGGAATTTTGTTTTCATTTAAGTTTAACCCTTTACTGCACTCGCAACAACAAACTTTCTGCAAACTGTATTTTGTATATCATGAATTTTTGAATTTCTGAGAAAATAAATTAATGTTTTATAATATTAACTTTAATTCAAATACAAATATGATGTAATTTAATATTATAAATGATAATAATGTGTTACGTGTTAATATTTTCGAGCAATATAAATTTGTAACTTGCATATTACTAGCTTATTTTTTTATATGTTTACATGCAATGAAAAGAAATAAAACAAGCAAAAAAAAAAAAAAAAATAAAAAGATCTCGTGAAATAAACAAGTTTAAATTGCGCATTAATATATATATATGTGTGATGTACCAGCTTTAGTCGTAGCTTAAATTATCAGACGAATAGTTTAAAAAAAAAAACAGGATCCATTTATTATTATTCAGGAGAAATAGCAGTTACAAAATCAGATATCCGGAGTAAATAAAAAGAATTACTAATAACTTTTTGTATGAAGTTTACTGCATCGTGACATTTAAGAAAAAGCCCCGATATTCTTTTGCGAGTCCTTTTATAGCATCTGGAAAGGCGGAGCTTCCAAGAAATGACGTCAGCCTCGTCAGCCAATCCAGTTCGCTTTAAATATTTCCAGAACATTCTATAACTGTACGTGTAGAAAAGGCGGGAAAAACAACTTGACTACGGGGCTCTGGATTTAATTCCACATACTTTCAAAGAAGAGAACGTCGCCATTAAAAAATGAAAACAACATACAGTTAGAATTTTAAGTGTATTCTTGACTATGGAATTTTATTATTACATATATATATATATATCTACGCAGTTATATATATATATATATATACGCAGTTACAACTGAAATACTTATTCCGTATCATCTTCTACAACGATTCGCGAAAAGCATATTTACACTTGACAACTTTCGTGGAATGTGTTTTGCAAAACGAATATGGTGTAGGTGCAACTCTTTATAATAGTAACTCTAGTTTTAGAACTAGTCTAGTAAGCAAAGCGGTTTACTTTTTCATTGGCCATACTATACTTCTGTTTCATTTCGTCTTTTATAATTGCCCAACAACTTTTTATTAAAAATTGAAAAGCTGGCAAACTCAGCTATTTTTTTTTTTTTTTTTTGTAAATAGTACTTAAAAAAAAAATGCGGCCGCCCAGTCAGTATAGTGGTCAGAGAAGCTGACTGCGATACCGAAGTGCCTGGGTTCGAACCCCGGCAATGGCATGGTTTTAACTGTCCGTCCCTTCATAGGAAAGACCTCCATAAGGTGCCTCCATAATAAAGAGACCACCACAGACGGCCTTGTTTAGATCAATGGACTGGGCTACATTTGTAATTGTTCACAATGTGCCATTGGGAAAAAAAAGAAAAAACTCTTTATAAGCTCCAGCGCCATTTTTTTAGAAACACCCTCCTGTTGTGCACGTAAGTGGGATCGTTGTAATTGAACAAAATTTGCTCAGTTTATTAATGTAGAATTTAAAAGCTTGAAAACCACACAAAGAAACCATCTCTTTGTTCATCTCAAAACAGAATAACTTCCACGCATCTGGTCAACTATATCAATCTCTTCTTTGTTGAGTTAAAAAATGTATATCTTCAAGCTTATTTGATACTGGATCATTTGTGAGATGGTTATGTATTGAACATAAATGTAAAATTGATTTATTTTGTTTCAGAACAACTTTCAAAGTTTTTATCACATTTCAAAGCTTAAAATTGGGAAAAGAAACAAAATCAATGCTATCCGTTTATTTAAAGCTGCTAAAAAGTACAAATAATAAATGTAAACATAAAAAGAAATCACATTTACATTTTTCCTGCTCTATATATTACAGATATAAGCTTTAACCACGCGATGAATTGTACAAATACACAAAATACATGTGAGTGATAAGTGTACAAAATACACTAGTGCACGCAAGTAAGGGCCAGATAAAACTTCAAAAGTGTACAAAATACACTAGTGCACGTAATTAAATGCCCTATAAGTGTGAAAAATACACTAGTGCACTTAATTCAGTGCCGATAAGACTCCAAATGTGTACAAAATACACTAGAGCACGTAATTAAGGGCCAGATAAAACTCCAAATGTGCACAAAATACACTAGTGCACGTAATTAAATTCCCTATAAGTGTGAAAAATACACTAGTACACATTCAGCGTGGATAAACTCTAAATGTGTACAAAATAGACTAGTGCATGTAATTAAGTGACCGATAAAACTCCAAAAGTATACAAAATACACTAACGCGCGTAATTAAATGTCCGATAAAACTCTAAAAGTGTACAAAGTCAGTAAGTAGTGCATGTAATTAAAGGGTTAATACATTTTTTTTCGCAGATTGTCAAAGATGGTCTTGGACAAATCATGATTAATTTTAAAATGTGTTTTGGATTAGAAATATTTTCAATTTTTAATTTCCATTTTGTATTTGGTTAGGTAATATTGCACGGATTTAGTCTGCTATCATTTTATGTTATATTTTCTTTTACATTCCTTTATTCTTGTCTTATTATATTTAATTTTATTTCCTAAATTCTGCTATAGAATATGCGTTTTCTACTTAGATTTTTGAAAAGGCGGCCATCAATGGATAGTTTCTCTCACAACTATTTGGGAGATCCCATTCCAGGAACTTACTGTGATCGCCAGTTTTTGGATTGTCTAGGAGTAAATCGTAAATGTAGGATAAGGACACCTAATTTTCCAGGATTCTATCCGAGAAATATCACATGCTTATTTTATATTCGCCAATCAAGTGCACCTGAGGTTAGTGTTTTCGATACTTATTTTTCAGTGTTACTTTATTTCATGCTCGTGGCATTATTTACTGTTGTTTATTTAGTTATTATGATAATTAATATGATAACTCATTCAAAATATTTTAAAGATCTCTTATATTGCCAGTTATAGGAGGCTAATAAATATAACAAATGTTAATTGAATGTAATATGTGTTCTTTTATGATTATGAAAGTAATTAACACCAGCACAGCTAGATAATGCACAGAATGTTAAACTTAAATGTTACTTTTAACAAATTATTATATTTTCATGTTTTAAGTATTTAAAAAATATTTGAAACATTCAAAAATATTTAAATAAGAAAAATTTCATTACTATGTTAATTACGGAAGTAATCAGAATTATAACATTTTATTCAACATTTTAGAGCTTCTTACTAGATAATATTAGGGACATTATTCAGAAATCATGAAACTGCAGTGTTTTAGAGTTTTCATTTATTTCCATTTTCCATATTATTCTGTAAACGACAGAGATACTTATAGTCAGAAAAATAAGTACAAAAGGCTATGAAGAAATCGTTAAATCAAACAATCTTTTTTTTTTTCAGATACGTGGTTTTGGCTTGGAGTTGAAAATTTAATTAAAAACATTAATAATGTTTGAAATCATAGATATTAATACATTTGACAGTTTCGGTACAGCTTTCAAAAAATTATTCACTTACGCATTTTAAATTTTTGAAAAAAAAAAAAAAAAAAAGAAAAAAAACTAACATACGCATGAAAAATACTTTTCGGAAATAAAAATTCAATACATTTCCACTTTCTTTCATATAAACAGGGTGCCTTAAAAGGTCGTTGCCAAAATTAACATGCGGGTTTGTCATGCCATGACATACAAGATATACATAGGTGTTTGTGTCCCAAAGTGCGAACGGGGACCTTCTCTTCTTTGATACCGGTTTCTAGGAAATTCATATATTTTCTGAAAGATTATGTCACAAGTAGAAAAACTGTGAAATCTTAGGGGCATAGGGATAAGCGTTTAGGAATCTATAGGTCCCACAACGTATCAATAACGTATTTGAAACATGACACCAAAAGTTACTAAAATGCCCGTTTCCTATATTTAAATGAACAAATAATATGGTAAGAATGTGGAGATCTTTATATAAAGGAAGAAGAAAGGAATGATTAGATTGATTGAAAAGAAATGATATACATTGGGATGTTGAAAATGTGACTTGTTATTGACTTCAAACAAAATGTATTACAAGAGACTATCAATGTGAAATTCATCAAAAACAACTGTGAGACGAGCCGAAAAACAGTTCATAAAGGGCACATTTGACAAAAGCGATAGCCTCACACTTTGCATACTCATCATTTGTCAATTAATCGAAGGAGTAATCCATTGGTGCAATCCACATTCCAGGTTCGTCGTCCAAGTATTCGACCTTATAAAAAGCATACTTAATCACGTTCTTGAAACAAGGAGCAGTGAAATGATATAGTGAAAAGGACTGCACAGTCAGAAAACTATCGCCATGCCAAATGGGCTCCTGTGTCTCGGTAATGATAGTGTTCGTTACGAAACGAACAAAAGATTTGTAGTGTCTGAAGAAATGAACATCCAGAGGCTGGATCTTTCCTGTACATCCTTTAGGTAGAAAACTATCGCCATGCGAAATGTGCTCCTGTGTTTCGGTAATGACAGTGTTCGTTACGAAACGAACAAAAGATTTGTAGTGTCTGAAGAAATGAACATCCAGAGGCTGGATCTTTCCTGTACATCCTTTAGGTAGAAAACTATCGCCATGCGAAATGTGCTCCTGTGTCTCGATAATGATAGCGTCCATTACGAAACGAACAAAAGATTTGTAGTGTCTGAAAAAATGAATATCCAGAGGCTGTATATCCTTTAGGTAGAAAACTATCGCCATGCCAAATGTGCTCCTGTGTCTCGATAAAGATAGTGTCCATTAGGAAACGAAGAAAATATTTGTAGTGTTTGAAGAAAGGAATATCTAGAGGCTGGATCTTTCCTGTACATCCTTCAGGTAGAAAACTATCGCCATGCCAAATGTGCTCCTGTGTCTCGATAATGATAGCGTCCATTACGAAACGAACAAAAGATTTGTAGTGTCTGAAGAAATGACACCATCAGGTTTTGGAGGAGGGTTGACCTATTTTTAATCATATGGTCCCGCTGGGACAAGGCGGATTGGGTCTCCCTCGAATAGTTCACCATCAGGTACTTCGGAAGCAGACAATGAATGAACATAAATAAAATAGAGACGTCATTACGGAAATATGTCTATCTATACATACTTTAATGATAGTTTCTGGGTCCCATAGCTATTAAACGCTTGTCCCTCTTCACTAAGACTTCACAGTTTTTCTACTTGTGCCATACGCTTTCAGAAAATATATGGGTTTCCGAAAAACCAGTATCAAATGAGAGAAGATTTATGTGTCAGTTCTTTATGGACATTTTATGTGGCATTTTGTTTCACATAAAATGTCCATAGCCGGATATATGGTATAGCCGGATCTGATGGTTCTGTATAGTATAGCCGGATCTGATGGTTCTGTATAGTATAGCGGGATCTGATGGTTGACGTTCCGGCAGCTACACGCCGTAAACATCTGGTTTTAGCATGATGAATCTCGTACACATTTAGTACCACCGTGCGGGAAATCCTCTATAGGACATATCATGATCGCCGGATTGACAGAGGCGGTCCAGTCGCATGGCCATCATGATCCCCGATCTGACTCCCTTAGAGTTCTACCTGTGGGGATACAAGACGTCTATGGCGTACGAGACGACAGGAACAGTGGACATGGGTCTCGTCGCCCGGAACGTGTAAGAGGCGGCACGTGTCCGTGACACACCTGCCCATTTTGAACGTGTCCGTGAATCCATGCGTTGACATTGAGAAGCATGCGTTGTGGCGAATGGAAGGGATTTTGAACATCTTCTGTGATTTAACCATGTTCTTTTAAAAAAGTCATATGAACACCTCATTCCACATCCTTTCTGTTCTCTCCTTCTGAACTTGCAAACATCGCCCTCTAGCGGTCTGCCGTCATTTTTCGGACACAAGTTCCGAAGTAAATCTTCTTTGTTATGGTATGACAGAGCAGTATATTAAGTTTGGCAGCAACCTTTTGAGACACCCTGTATATATATAACTTTCCGTTTTATCTTAAAGCAAGATGGCGAAATTTGGATGCATTTCATTAGAAAAATTGCATTTAGGGAAAAAAAAAAGGAGAATTCACTTGAATGCAAGGTGCAGCTTTACTTATACTCAGAATAACACTTGTTTTAAATGCAAAATTACGTTATTATATTATGAATATATTATTTTAATCAGAAATTTATCGTAAGTGAATATTTTGTGTATTATACATTCAGCTGGGGTTCAAATTCCCTTTGCAAAAGTATTATTCAGACTCATAAATACTGCATTCTGCACTTCCAGTTGGTATTAGGATTATTACTGTTAATCTATATTTACAAGTAGAGTATAATGCAAATGAACTATATTTTTTTAATTTTTAAAAAATTTTTAATTTTTGGATTTTTAAGCAATGTTAAAATAATCAGAGCCGATTTTAATTTTTGGATTTTTAAGTAATGCTAAAATAATCAGAGCACATTTATATACATAAATATCCCTATGTATTTGAGTTTAAACGAAGTGCTACCCCATATGGCAAGATGCAAATCGACTATAACTTAAGTCATTTACAGTTAGTTCTCAAAACCTCTTGAAGTTTGAGGATGCCAGTTTATGTCAAAGGCTTTTATAAACTTAGTTTCCGGATAGCTGCCAGCGAATAATTGAAACAGCTGCATAGATGCACTAAAATAAATTCAAGTGTTATTTTCTATATAACAATTTTAGCTACTAAATGTTTGATTGAAAATAAAAGTTTAAAGTTACTTATGCAGTTTCTCTAGTTTTCATACCATTTGGTAGTGATCATAGTTCCTATTCTAAAAATCCTTCTTTTATTAGGTGAATGTCTTGGGTGAAGTATTTAGTGAGCATTACAAATTATCACTTCTATTTGCCATTTTTTTCTTTTCATCGTTCTGAAACAATACAGAAAGTAAATGCATATAGTCCTTTCTTAAAATAAACTAATAATGGATCAAAAAGTAGACCACATTTAGATTCTGTTTATCTCTGCCAATATGAATGTGGAAGAAAATCATACAGATAATTAAAAGTTGACTACCGTATTTACCCAACTTCAAAACTGTTCTTGTTTTCGTCTTTTTTCCTGGTTCAAAAGTGCCCCACGATTTAGAATCTATATTATAAATACAGACGATATCATTAATTTTTGATTTAATTTTGTTTTCGATTTCATGGCGTCGGCTTATAATCAATGTGGTTTTGAATAAAAAATAATAATAAGCTATGCATATTCAACCTTATTTCTGGAGAACGTATTCTTCTGCCTTCATTTTAAAGGCATATTGGCATGTTTCGGACAATATAGCTAATATTCATTATAAACTATAATGTTATTTATTTGGAGTTAATTATTTATACGTATAACATAATTATATTTATACGTATAACAAATTATCTACATTTTCCACTGTCTTATCGGGTACAAGTTCCATTTTCTTGGTTGAGTTCTTGAGTTCTTATATTGATTTTTCTTGAATCAATATATCACGGATCGTTCGATTTGATAAAATACAGTAGGATTTATTTTAATTGCCTTTCTCTATTTACTTCTATGCCTTTATTCACTTTATATTCCAACATTTAATGAATTTCATTGAGGCCTAGTGTTATTCTCCTTTCATAAACAAAACATCTCTCATTTTGGATATCATTGAATGGATTTTTCAGCAATCGATAACTACAAAATTTTTAACTTTATTCAAAGAGGATTTACAACATCATTTGCATATTTAAGGGATTTACAACGTGACGTAGTCACGATTTTCGTTTTCTAAAATGTTGGTGGGTTTTTATCTTCTGAAAATACCAATTTGGAAGCTTATAACGGAAACGATGTATAGATAATCTGCAGAAAGAGCAATTGAAAATTCAGAAAATTTACAGGCTCTAGTATAAATTTCATAAAAAACTGAATTTTATTTATTAATTGCTTTAATTTCTTTGATGCAGGGGTACAAGACTAGAATTGTTTTGTCTCAACCGAATGATTACAAGATCTCCGTACCCACTGGCCGAGCCACATCTACAAGTAGCACAAATTTTCTTTTGTCCACGGACTGTATAAGCGGGGACGCTGTTCGAATCTACGATGGCCTTTCTTTGAGATCCCCACAACTTTTAGAATTCTGTGGTTCTGGGGCCCTGCCTGAAATTGTTTCGAGTAGTAACGAATTATTGGTACAGATTTACAGTGCCCCTTACCAGCAACTGAGCAACTCTCGGGTGGAGATTGGAATACATGTTCGTTTGGAAATGGTGCATTCAGAAACGTTGGAAGACAATGGACGATGTTCTTACACATTGGAAGGAACACAAAGAAGGTGGGGCCTAATCCATAGTCCCAGGCATACCATGCCGCCCAATGCTAACTGTACTTACAGACTCAAAGGAGCTTCTGCTACTGACAGGGTGAGTATTAAAAATCGTTATTGAGTACCAAAATATTTATAAATGCTTCAAATGAAAAATATGTTCAGTAATTGACATAGATGTAGAAATGCCTACAAACCGTGCTCCATGTTTGAACATGACGGACGTCAGGTGGATTTTATGTAATCGAAATACAAGTCATTTAATATTCAGAATTCTGCTGTCATTAAAATTAATACCTGTGAAGTAGTACGATTAGCATATGTATGTCCGCTGATTCTTCTTAGTTGTGTTTGACTAAGAATATCATAATAACTAAAACGCATTTTTAACAGGTAATCAATGTATCTATAAAACCGTGTAAGCAAAAAATATTTTTTATACATTTTATTTCGTACATTTTATCCCTAGAACACGGAAGAGAGAAACCATTGCTTATGAATCTTCATAATGAACAAACATAGAAAAAATATTCGTTATAAACATCATACTAACCACGCATGATTTCAAAATTTCAGGATTTATTCTTGGAGCTGCTTAGAATAAAATTTGAAATCTTTAAACTTAAACATTGGTAGTTGCTAGCAACTGCACAATAGTTAGAAATAACAAAATATTTTGGAGAAATCATCAAATTTTGTAAACTTATGTTATGTGTTCGGAATACGGTTCATTTGCAAAATTACATTTCGAGTTTTTCTACCACGGAAAACTCGAAATTTCGCGAAGTCCAATTTAACTGTTAAAGGAAATTATGACGGAAACATTCAGTTTTAAGTAAAAGAATCTATACCTAATTTTGAAGAAATTTCTTATGAATATTACCGTCATCTTATTGGCATCTTAATTATACGTATAATGATTTGGATGGAGAAGATTCAAATATTTTCAATCATGGCCGACACTAGCCGAATGCTAGTTCAGTTAAATGCTAACCGTCATAACTATTTAAATATTTTATTTCTCGTCAAAACATTATACGAAGAACATTCTTAGTATGAATTGTATTGGACGCAATTTTCCCTCCATTTTTCCTCACATTTGGTGCCTTTATTATGATAATAACATTACAATTGATGAAACTGAGAACTGAAGTTACGTTAGAACATGTTAGCTGGACAGGAAGCAAAGCAGGAATGTGTGACGCATTCAAAAAGAAAGACTGGAAGACAGATCTGAAATTGGTAAGGCCCAAAATCTCCCAATCCCGATGCATTGTGAATGGTTAAAGCGCTTTTGTAAGTACCTGCACCAGTAGCGTTATCTAAAATCATACAACAGTTACTAATTTGGAAGCGACACAGTTTAGAGAGATTTATTATAAACAGTTATTTGTTTTAGGAGAGTCAGGGAAATATTCACATTAAAATAAAGTGAATTTTCGTTTATAAAATTTTTATCTCACATATATATTGTTGCATGCGTACGGGTTCGTAATAGATTGAATGCACACAGGCCCGATAAGAAGTTAGTAAAATTTATATTATCAAAATAAACACTTCAAAGTTCTCGAATTTTCCGCATAAATACTCGTACAGGTGCACACGGAATCACACAGTACAATCATTAGTTACACTTCAAACTACTAAGAACGTTAAACATAACGCACTGCAAAGAGCATCTAAAGAGAGAGCGAATCTGGAAATATCATCGATCTCATGTTGAACTAACAACCCGCAACAATAACAAATAAACAACCAAGAGGCAGATGCTGTCTCTCCGGGTTTATATAGTTTTCAAGCGACCGCCGAGATATTTCTAGCGCTTTCTGCTTCTCGAAATTACTGTAAAGCAATATTAGCGTCAAATTACAGTTGCAGCTAATACAGAGAACAATTACATATCCAATTACAATGCCTATTATGGTGATACAGGGACCGGAACAAAATGTCGCCAAATGGTTGCCAAATTTGGCGACTTTTGGCGATTCCTCTTTAAATTACCGAGATACCCATTTACACAATGCTAAATGGACTTGCCCCAAATTTTTATTTTTTCAGCATAGCTTCTGTCTGAAATTTTTCGCGTTACATTACGCAAAAAAATACAATAATTGTACTTATAATTCCACTAGAATTACGTATCTATGTAAAAAATTCGTAACATTTTATAAAATATTTCAAGAAACTCAGATCGGAAGAATGATAACAAACAATAGTTTTAAAATTTGAAACAAATAAAGCAAATAAATGCAGAAAACAAGTTAAACAAGTCCATGTAAAAGTGAAAAAATGAAATGTAGTTGTAATCACTGCAAAATGGCGCAGGCAGCAAGATAGCTTTCTCTTCTAGAAAATTATTAAATTATTAAAAAGGTAATTATGCGTTAACAATAATACGAATAACAAAAATTACAAATTTAAAAAAATGTGAACATTAAATTTAACTATTAATTATTTTAATAAGTTTTTACATTTATATTCATAAATGAGTTAATTACTGTTCAGCTCGTTGGCTATTTTGATTTAATTTAAAAACTAAGGATTAATGTGCCTCGTTTTTCTAATAACTTAAAATCATTTCCTTTTCATTAATCAGAATGTAATTACCTTAATTATTTCAAGAAAGTTAAAACATTAATCATTAAAGCTTGGTAACTGATAAAAAATTAGTTAATTTTGAAGGCTATTTTATTTGTGTAGAATTTCATACTTCTAAAGATTTATTTTTATTATAGTTGTTACATTTTAAAATTACATTAAATAAGTACATAAAAGTTAAATATTAAATTTCGTTATGTAATTGGTTACACAAATAATGTAGCAAACCTGTTTTTACCAAGGTTTTAAAAACTGTTAAGATTTAATCAGCATTTAATGTTTAAGTTATTTGCGACGTATTTCAAATTTAAATATTACATGTGTTTAGAAATTTTTCATTTCCTTTAACCAAATGAAAACTTCAGCAAAAACTTAGAATTTTTAATTATTGAAAAATTTTAATCAAAGCAATTACTTATCTTGATGCAAAGGGTTTGAAACTATGATGCATTTCCTGCTTATTTTTATACGTATTATTTATAATTTTGCAATTGGCTTTGACTTATTTTTCGTCAAAGTCAATTGCATGTATCGTAATCATTAATAGTTCTAATTAGATCTTATCTTTCTAGTTCATCTGTCATTCATCTGTGAGTAATTCTTAATCTTCTACAGTGGCTGTCCGCACATTTTTCAAACGACTTTACTTTGCATAAGAAAACATCTTCTGGCGGGAATTTTGTTTTTAACTGCAGCTATATTTTTGAAAGTATGAATTATCGTCTATTATTGACATTATTTTTCATGCAAAATGGCGCTTTTAAAGAAGTAATGAATGGAAGCTACGTTTATGTTCCTTCACAAGAAAATTATTCGTATCTAGTTATTAAACAACGTTGGGAAAACCATGGTTTTTCGATATCTAAAGCTAATAAGTAATGTTGTCAACAGCAAAGCTAGAAAACGTCAAAATTTAGAATACATACCCAAGGAAAAAACTGAATGTTTCGAATGTTGCAAAATTAAGACCTTTAATGTCAAAGGAAATTCGCGAAGTCAAAGGACAGTTGCAAAATAATTAAATTGGTCAGTGTCAACTGTAGACAAAGTGATTAATACTGACTTGAATCTTAAAAGGCAAAAAAAGGGAATGAACATAGTCTTTCTCCAAGGACCAAAAAACGAATGAAAACACTAAAAAAAAACGAATGAATAAAAACCAAAAAAAAGACAAAAAGAATGAAAAAACGCTAAAAACGACCAATAAAAAACGAAAGAAAAATCACCAGAAAAACGAATGAAAAAGCACCAAAAAACGAATGAGGAAACAACAAAAAAATACGAAAATAACGAATGAAAAAACACCTAAAAACGCCAAAAAAGAATGAAAAAAAAAAAAAGAATGAAAAAACACCAAAAAAAAAAAGAATGTAAAAGGCACCAAAAAAGAATGAAAAACCAAAACCCGAATGCAAAAACATAAAAAAAGACCAAAAACGAATAAAAAACACCAAAAACGATTAAAAAACGAATGAAAAAATCACAAAAAACGACCAAAAAAACGAATGAAACGGTCATGTCGCCGAAAGCCGTGCAGAATTCTTTAGAAGAAACATTTATCCGGACACAAATGAAAAACAAATATTGACTGAACAGGCGAATCTTGGGTGTATTTAAATGACTACAATTTAAAGAGGTCCATTTGTCATCATCAAAGAGGAAAAAAATCTCAAAACATGGTTCAAGGAAAAAATGTTTTTCTTTCTAAAGAATTTGTGATTGTTGTCGGTTTTTCATACAACGTCAAATTAAAAATAATGACAACATTGGTTTACAAATCATTTAAAAATTTTAAAAATATTACAAATCATTCCACATATTATCAAAATCACATTCTGTACGCAATTTTCAAATATGAAATAACTTCTCTTTATACATAGCGTGATCAATCAGCAGAACTGCATCAAGATAAAGTAAGCAGAGACACATTAAAATGTACTATTAATTTCCCAGAAAAAATGGAACAAGAAATGGATATCAAGGCCATACGCTTCTCGTATCCCTACTAAATCTTCTGCTATATCACCAATATATTTCTGCTATTTTGGATTTTTTAAAAGGTGATTGTCTAAACGTCGACCTACAATCTCATTAGGCTTTGGAAAACTGTTTGAGAGCAATAGGATAAAATACCGCTTCTGATACATTCTTCCAAAACTTCATTGTCTTCGATATTACGGTATATAAAGATAGTGAAGGATACCTGTTATCAAATAGAGTATTTAAAATATAAAACATTTAGGAAAAATATTTCTGTAATTACATGAAAGTCGTCTAAAAATGTGCTAACAGCCTCTGCCATTGGTAATAGATGTGCAATAAACATTATAACAGAAGTCCTCAGAATCTATGCTTCATAGGGCATATTCACAATATATTGGCAGCTCTCTCCCGAGAGAAATTTGAAACTGATATTAATTAAAAACTGAGGTTAATCTTTGAATTATGGTAACTTGGCGATATTTTGGCGAAAATTTGGCGACCAACCCTGCTACAGCAACCTGCTAGTTTTTCTTTGGATGCCATTTTGTTTTCACGAAGTAAAGGCATGTTTTTTTTATTTATTTATTTTTTTTATATATATATATATAGTCAACATTTTTTTCCAACAATCTGCTAGCCGAATTACGCTTATGCTAGAACTTTTATGCAACAAAAGGGCTTAATCATGACGAAGATTAGGTGCGAAAATTGGGAGAAAGTGCAGAATCGCCCACTGCTTGCCGCGTTTTTAAAAATTGCAAATACAGGATATCCATGTACACGTCAACCTATTTTCACTTAAAAAAACATCCCAAAATTGGACAAAAATGGCATTGCACATACTCTTGCCTTTAATCCATGTACACTGCTAAAGTCCTAGCTAGTAACCTTTATCGCCTTACTAAAATGCCGCCAAACTACCTGTTACCATATTCCAAAGATTCGCCAAAACTGCATAATATATAAGATAAATATATATAAGTTATCGTTCATGGTAGCATAAACTTACTGTAACCGCCTAGACTTAAGCAGAAATATTTCTGTTGAAGAAATGTTTGAAGCTACATTTCAACAGAAGACATCATAGACAGCAGAGGTTCCCAAGCCTTTGGGGCCGCGACCCCATTTTAGGTGTTCGGCCCGTATTGTGGTCCAAATTCTCAGGAATATGCATTTTATAATATGTCTGAGAACCTGACATTCAGTTTTTCAGCAATCTTATGTCTCCCCAAAACTTTTTCGCGAACCGTAATTTGAAGCCTGCTGATGTACAGCATAATGTTGGCTCTCGTAAACAATCGCCAAAACGCTAATGAGTTATTAAAGATCTCATGGATAAATCTAATGATTCGTAAAAATGAGTGAAACGATAAAGATTAAATATTTTTAACAGCGACTGCTTTGAGAATAAACTGAGTTTTATTATGTCAGCAGAAAACGTCATTAAATTATTTATGATTTTTAATGAACGGCTGAAAGACCTAGAAATGTACTGTGATAAATAGAGATACTGCATGATACATTCAATTGTTTAGTCAAAATCCTTTTCGGGTGAGGTAGATTTTATTTCAACTCATGAAGTTGCGTATTGAGTAGGAAATCTAATAATGTATGAGCAGCTAAAACGTTTTGTTTTGTAAAATTATTGTTGAAGCGATATAGAGGTATTTTCTGCGATTTGATTGCTATGGTTGATAACAATCAGACTGTTCATTTCTGCAAAAGATATACCTTAAATCTGATTCCGCCCTTTTTACTTCTTTGTACAGAGTAAAAAGGAAGTATTGTAATCGCTAAAAGATTCAGGCAGCAAATTTCAACGAAAATATCCATTTTGACCGCTATCGAATGCAATTTAACGATGTTTTTGCGTGATATCTGTACGTAAGGACAGAATAAAAGACTCTTTTTTGTCCAAAAAAATTATAAAACTGCTTTAGAATTAATTCTGAAGAGAACTTTTCGTGGCGTCTGTACGAAAGTATGTACGTACGTGCGTGCGTACGTACGTACGTATCTATCTCGCATAACTCAAAAACGAGTAGCATCAGAACGTTGAAATTTTGTATATAGGACTGCTATAAAGTGTAGATGTGCACCTCGTATTTTGGTTGCAATCGGCCGTACCAAACGTATATAAATATATATATTTATATAATATCCACTCTGTTATCCGGCTCAGTGATCTCAGTTTCTTTACTCGTACATGTTTGTAAATTGTACATTTTTTGCTTTAAAAATGATTGAATTATGTTGTCCTTATCTTCCGGTTAAGGTTTTTATGTCTTTAGTAAATCTGTAAGGAAATTTTAAATTTATCAACCATTTTAAAGTTGTTTAATTGCCGCTAAGCCTAATAATTCTTTGATGGCGGCTATTGCTTGTTTACATTTGAAACAGCAGAATACTGGATTTGTTGCCAATCTAGAGAAACTTAGCCTCGCAACAACAAAGATAAACGCCTTCATTTATTATTGCGAATTAAATCATGCTTAATCCTTTCTGGAATTTTTTCGAGGAAATAAGTGTTTAAGATTTAATTTGTAAATTTTAATACATATATTTTAAGTTTTTATTTATTTTTGCCTTCTCGAGGAGTGAGAACTGAATTAATGGAATGAGAAATACTCAATCGTCTGTGAAAAACTGTTTCTTTTTTGTTTTGTTTGCTTAATTTCTTTTATACATCGTTCTAGCTTTATTACAGTATTTGAATAGAACATGTGGCAACGATTAGATAACTCTTTAAATGATATCAATTTTGTCCATTCTGAGTTATAATATGAACGAAATATAATACTGTTAAGTTAACCTAGCGCCAGAGTGTCGCTATGGTAAACAGAGTGAATTTTAAAGAATGCATTTATTCTATTGTGTTTATGCGTTGTCGGCGAAGTATATTTAATTCAATCCAATAAGTTTAAATGAAATGCAAGAAAAAATGCGTATAATTTAATATACCATACAAGGGAGTCATGCGGTGTACACATCAGATTTTTATATTTATCAAAAATATCTTTCTCCCTCTAGGTATGGCTTTATTTTATCTCCTTCTTCGTATTAGTCGAGAAAAGGCCTACAGCTACGGAACGCGAGCATTCTTGTGCCGCTAGCAAATTAGAAATTTATGACACTGGTGACACTAAATCAAATACCACCGCAGCTCCATCCCTCGTCCAGGAACCCAATCATATTTTTTGTGGTGACAACGGACCTCGACTTTGTGCGCACGCTGCTGACTATCCGCCTCGTTTCTTGCCTCCACGTCCTTGTGAAGTAAGTGCCAATTTTCAGATTTTAAAAATGTATTCTTATTTATACAAAACAAATCCTTTCGAAAGAGAAAGCTCAAATTCGGTTGTATGTTTTCGTCTCAAAATTATTTTGGAAAAATAACGAACAGTAGTAGCAAACTGAAAATTATAAACCACATAACGTTTTGATGCAGCTCAAAGGGGATAATGCAAATGGGTTTATTAGCAGCATTATGAAATTGCAAACCTACAGTGGATGGACAAAAATATGGAAACACCTTGTGAAATGCATGTTTGAAAAGAAAGATTGATTTTAATGAAATATGTAGGTGGCGCTGGCGTTTTTGACTACTGACGCCACCTATACAACTTTGTAAATGTGCTGAACAGTTCAGTTGTTGTCGGAGTACTGTTATGTGAGGTTGTTATTGCATTATGTCAGAGTTAACAGACTTCGAACGTGGGCAAATTGTTGGAGCACGTATGGTAGGTGCTTCCGTAAGCAAGGTAGCCGAGGTGTTTAGTGTTTCAAGAAGTACTGTATCTAAGATTTATTCCGCATATTTGAAAAGCGGAAAAACATCATCTGCTAAATCACAGCGCGGACGAAAGTGTGTCCTGAGTGATCGTGACAAACGATCATTGAGGACAATTGTGACGAAAAATAAGAAGACCACAGCTGCAAAAGTTACTGCTGAAATGAATGTTGTGTTACCGAACCCTGTGAGTACCAAAACAATTAGAAGGGAGCTTCATAAACAGGGAATTGCTGGCCGTGCTGCAATTGAGAAGCCACTCATCAGTCATGCAGTCATGCTAATGCCCGTAACAGGAAAAGGGTGGTGTTTAAGTCATAAAGCCTGGACTATAGAGCAGTGGAAGCGAGTAATATGGTCTGACGATTCTTCTATCACATTGTTTCCCACTTCTGGCAGAGTTCACGTCTGGAGAACGCCATCTCAAGCCTATAATACAGACTGCTTGTTCCAAAGAGTGAAACATGGCTGGGGTTCTGTTATGGTTTGGGCAGCCATTTCGTGGTTCTCTGCTAGCCCCATGATAATTGTGTCAGGGCACATGACTGCCAAGACTTATGTGAAGATTTTGGCCGATCAAGTTCATCCCATGGTAGAAACTTTGTTCCCCGATGGTGATGGTGCCTTCCAAGACGACAAAGCCTCAGTTCACACAGCTCACATTGTCCAGGACTGGTTTTCTGAGCACGAGGATGAGTTGTCCCATCTCCCCTGGCCACCACAGTCACCAGACCTGAATATTATCGAACCTTTGTGGTCTAATTGGAACGAAGTGCGTTCTCGTTATCCACGCCACATCGTTATCTGAACTTGCCACCGTTTTGCAGGAAGAATGGTATAAGATTCCCTTGGCAAACATAGAACTGTATTTATCCATTCCGAGAAGACTGCAAGCTGTTTTGGATGCCAACGGGTTTACACCCTATTAAGCAAAGAAACTGTTTTTTTAAGGTGTTTTCATATTTTGTCCAACCCCTGTTATTTTATGTATCATTCATATCTGTTTTAATAGATGATGTGTGCGGTGCTAAATGTAAAAGAACAGAATTAAGTGTAGGAATTAGAATTACTTGAGCAAGTCACATGCGTTTTTTGAATTAAGACCAACAAATGTAATCA